CTAAATTCCCAATCAGCCATTCTTGTCAGCATTTTGATCCTGTCATCAGGTGACCAGCTACCAGCCCCACCCTCTTGCAAACCCTGCAAAATGTAGGTCTCCTTTCCTGCTGGCTGGCTTTGCTATGCGAGTTCATTGGAAAGGATAGTGATTCGTTTCATCCACGTGGCTACTGAGGCATTTGATGCAATGTATGAGGTACCCCACACAGTGCTGACCTTACAAATCGTGGTGCCTTACGTAGCCTGAGCACCTGGACCACACCCTCACATCTGGCTCAGCATGTAGTGGTCTCATGGCATCTTCCCAGCTGCCCATGCTTGGCCACTGCACCAAACACTCCCCTACTTGGGCTGCTGCACAGCTCTCCGATTTGATCAGTGTATGGGGAGGAGTCTGTTCAGTCCTATCTGAGAGTAACCCATAGGAAATGGGACATGCTGCAGGGCAGAACAAAGATTTAAGAACTCAGACAAGCCTATCAGAAGGCTTGTGAAACAAACTAATGCTCCAGTGCTTCTCCAAGGACCTGCTGTTTCTATGAGGAGCTAGATGCTATCCTCAGCAGTGACCCCATCTCCCCTATCAAGAGCCTCATGGATACTTCACTGTACTTCCTCTACGCCCTCTGAGGACCTGTAGGGTCAGGAATTCAGTCACAGTCCCCCGCATCAGAAAGCCCTGCACACTTGCAGCAGTACAGCATCAATGGTGGACTTCTCTACTCCAAACTGATTTGCAAATGACTGGTAGCAATCGGGAGTTACCAGCTTTCAAACAGGAATTGCCACACACTTCTCAGCCAAAAGGGCAGCTCTCATTCTGGTGTCCTTGCGGTGCAGGGTGGGGCCAACTCAGTGCACAGCTCCAGGAAGCTTTCCGCCTGTAGTCAATGGTCTTCATCCCATACCTTCATGGCGATGCGATCCCACCAATCAGTGCTGGTTTCCCTAGTGAAAAATGGCCGCTCTACCCTGTACCACTGCCCATCATGAACACACTCTGGTTCCTCTGAATCTTCTTCCTCTGTCAGTAATTTCAAGATGATCTCCTCTGCCACGCACTAGGACCTCACGACAATTAACAGAGCATGAGAGAGAAGGGCAGGATCCATTCTCTCTCGTTGCAGGTGCCAGATTGCACACCAAGGAATGGCATGCCCCACACTCTATTCTGTAGTCCCACACCACCTGGCAACAGATGGTGTCACCAGGCACTGTGGGATACATACCCATGATGTGTCACTCCTGCTGTCGATGGGGGGAGCTCCAAATGTGAATATGATCTGTCAACGGAGGGGCAAGTGTGAACATGTTTTGGTAACTTTGACATGGTTGACTTCTGAGTGTAGACATAGTCTGACATTACAGAAAGAGGGTATCAGCAAATCACCAAAACCTGAAAGTGAAAGAAATCTGATGGATCTTCAGACCTAAGGTAGATCTTTCAATCTTGCTTCAATATAAAGCCTTAATCCATCACACTAATTGTGTGAATGGAAGTCAAGCAGTCTCCATATTATGTTCATCCTGCTGCAGTTTAAACACACAGATTAGCATATTTACAAAAGAAAGCTGCACTTAAGAATAGAAAAGTTGCAGAAAAGCAGACTGCACTTTTTAGCCATAAACTCCTGGTAAGTGTGTAATTTATTTTAACTTTAAATCATTTTTATGGATTTGAACTCCACCATAAAAGTATATAAAAACAGATGTTTCATTCATTTTGCAACAACTTTCTTTAAGCTCCTTGGTTATAAATGTAACAGCATGTAAATAAAAAACAAAAGGAAAACTGATGACATACTCAGAGGCTGCCTTTGTTGGAGTTATTATGGTTATTAAGCAGTGAACATTTCTTCCCCATTCAGCAAGGTAAATCTTTAACCAACTCACTATAGTGTACTCGCCTTCCCAATGGAAATGGTGTAAGATCCACTGCTTGAGATGCTTATGTTTAGATCTACACTTGCAGAGATTTTATGCTGTCAGTTTCACCAGTGATAGGAACCAGTAAAAGAAAAGCACCAGTTTGTGTGCTCTCTTAGGATCACAGGAGTCAGAGTGTTTACAACTGCAGCACTTCAAGTTTCTGATGAGAGCAGCAATCCCACAGTGCAGCTTTCATGGGAAAGGGTGTGATCACAGGGCATCCTTAGTCCCTACACTAAAACCTCTTTCCAAGCACTGGTCAGCTACAGTAACGCAGCATTGCTGCGAGCAGGGGATCATTTGCTCCATGGAGCAAGCATTGTCTCCTGGCCAAATGATAAGTGAGCACTTGCCAAGAAACCAGGAAGGGGAGTTTCAAAAGTTCACAGGACTTTACAGTAGGCGGGGCAGACATCTATTTACCTGGCAACAGAGCAGCAGAGGTGCTGGCTAGAGTGGTCAGGTAGGCATTGCGGGATATTCTGCAGAGGCTACAAACTCTGTATACAGCAAGACCATCTCCTCGTTTGCACATCACCACAAAAGAGCATCACTGGTAAAAGCTGTAGGCCTCTTGTGGAGGTGGTTTTCTTTTTGTGGTGAAACTTGTGAATTGTGCCACAAAAAGTCATTTGCAAGTATAAACACTCCCAGAGTTCTTACACAAAATAAAGGACTTTTTCTGCTCCTAATGGCAAGTTTAAGACATGCCCTTTAATCTTAACTAGATAAAATACTATAAAAAAAATTAGAGAGCCCAATCATGCCTTGGTATGGGGTTGCAAAAAAGTCCAAGTCTACAACCCATAGTTCTCTCTCTGGCCTACAATAATAGCTCACCATGTTTTATCCACACTTCCCGAACATACAAATCAATTTAGAGCTTTTTGAGATCTGTATTATACAAAATGGAATTTTTCAGGTTCCCAAACTTGGTACACAAGATTTAAAAAGAAAATGATTTCATGGACAGAAAAAAGTTTAAGGTTAGACCACTGTGATATCACTACTCATTGAAACTCAAATCTCAGAGCCAACTCAGTCCTTCATGGCTCAGAGAAAAGTAAATTAGAGTGCCATGGAGTCAGCTGTGTTTTGGTCTTTTGGCTGATTAAAAAATGAAATTATATATTCTCATCACGGACATAAGATCCCATGACATTTTTCATGAAAGCAGGGTTCCTTTGTTCAAAAATGTCTTTTCCCTGCCCTGTATTAGAGACAGGCACTCATTCCAGGTGCCTTTTACTCAGAAATGTCTACTCAGGGCTGCATGCGTATGCAATACCTGTAAAGCATTTGAAGATACTATAAAATGAAAAAACATAAGAATGGCCAGACCCGATCAGAACAAAGGTCCACAATCATGTCATCTGACAGAGGCCAAAGCCAGGTGCCCCAGAGGGAATGAACAGAACAGATAATGATCCCGTCACCCATTCTCAGCTTTTGGCATGTATAGTGTATATATTGGCATATAAATACACAAAGTACTTTAATTCCTCAATTCAGTTTATAGAGCACAACCACTTCCAGGATCGAAGACAGAATTAGCTTTTTATTAAAATGTACAAAGGAGAAGCAACTCCGGGACACAAATTAGAGATTTGCTTTGGTACAAGTGAATGCAATGGTGTAAAGTTGTATCTCCATATTTATTTTGAATTACTTGTTTTTGGTTCTTTCATATTTTTTCTCTTTGAAATTCTGCATCATCAAATTTACATTTTATAACGTACAACAAAATAAATGCAGAAGGATGTCAACATGTATGACTGTATCTCAGCACAATCAGGAATGGAAAGAGTAATTTACTGTTAAAATCAAATAAATATCTTGCTATGAGACAATTTAGTTCCAACCACCAAAACACCTGCCTCAACCTTCTGTGGCCTAGAAATTTTCTCTATTAATTTGTTACATCCAATTCTATACAATCTGACTCTTTTAGAGCACAGCAACAATCTTGTCATTAATCTCAGCAAAATACTTAATTTTATATTGAGCTTATAAAACTGTCATTCTGCACACTGACAACATAGCCACTGTTGTGCACAGTTTAGCTTTATGTTTGTTTTTTCCTTTTACTCTTTTGTGAATATTGTGATTAAAAATATAAACACAATTATGTATTCATAAACCTTTCTAAACCTTCCTCATTTAGTTAAATTATTTTACTGTGCTCAACTGTTTTACATTCATGGTTACATGCAGCCCTCCCCTCGTGTATCCACGCAGCTGTCTCTGTATTAGAGACAGCAGTGCAGGGGGAGGAAAGGGGAAGGGGCCAGTATGCATGGGGAATGGGCTTAAAAACAACTTTCCTCTTCCCCCTACCTATCAGAGACAGCAGCAGCATGGGAATGGAGCAGAAAGGAGCTGGTACACATGGGGAGCCAGTATACATGGGGAGCCAGCCTGCTACCCTCCGTTCCCTCACACTGCTGCCTCTGATACAGAGGCAGCTGTATAGGGTAGCAGGCAGAAGCCCTCCACGTATAACTGGTGAAATTTTCAGCAGTTATATGATTGATTACTTAAATGCATTTTAACATTCCTAGTCTTAATAGTCAAGTAAAAAAAGCAGCTTAGTGTCAATTTTTTTTCTACGGTTATATTCAGTATCTGAGAGAAATCTTATATAGTTGAACACAATCTTAGATCATCCTTAATATCAAAATAATGCCACAGATTAAATCGCAGAACTGCATCTACTATCCAGATCTTTTCCTTCTACTTTCTATTAAACCACCAAAACACTATTTCATACACCAAGTTTACTGCAAAATACTTACTTCAGCAATATACACAGAGTTGTAATAAGTAAATTTCTGCTAACAAAAACAAATTCATGTTGATGCAATTTCCTGGTTTGATGCAAATACCTGTGTACCTTGCTTCATCATTAGCAACTCAAATTTGACCTTTAAAGAATGAGAGTGCGCTAGTCAAGAAATACTGGGAAGAACAAAATAATTTTATTACATATATTTTAAACGGGACTTGCAGCACAGCCAGTTTCTCTCCAGACATCAAACAGAAGATGAGCAGATGTGTATTTCTACATACCTAGTGGGAAGCTTCTCAAAATCCACATCCAGAAATTGTTCATAGCTAGAAACAAAACTATCCAGCCAGAGCTGCAAATAATCTGGGTCTTTCTGTAAAGTGAAAGGAACACATTAAGAAAACTTGTTCTGAAAATCATCAGTAAACATAACCCATATAAGAAATGATACGGTCTACAAGAAAAAAAAAGCATTTAAAAATGTTATTTAGAAAAAGCTTTGATGGGCAAAATTAAATTTTAGTCAAACCCAAGAGACTGTCATCAGACATTCCCAATCAAACTGAGCTCTTTGCAATTACAGGCAGTCCCTGGGTTACGTACAAGATAGGGACTGTAGGTTTGTTCTTAAGTTGAATTTGTATGTAAGTCGGAACTGGTACATATTGTAGGGGAAACTCTAGCCAAACATTTCTCCAGAGCTCAGTTTTATTCTCCCACACCTCACTTCCCTCAGTCCTTCATTCTCAAGCTGAGGTGTCTGCTGAGAAAAGCCGCTCCGCGTCTCCCTGGTCTGCTGCGGGGGGCGCTAGCTTCGGGTCTCCCTGGTCTGCTGGGGGGAAGCAGCTAGTGTGGGGTTGCTTCACCCTGTTTGTAAGTAGGGATCCGATGTAAGTCGGATTCATGTAACCCGGGGACTGCCTGTAGTTGCACTTCCATTTTAGTACTTCTCTGCTTCCCGCTATCAGTTTCAAACAAAATATTTTAGACATTCTATAAGCAGCCTCAAAAAACTCTCCAGTGGTTTTCAGCTTCCTAAAATAAGAACATAAGAACGGCTATACTGGGTCAGACCAAAGGTCCTTCTAGCCCAGTGTCCTGTCTGCCGACAGTGGCCAATACCAGACGTCCCAGAGGAAGGGAACACAATATGTAATCCTCATGTGATCCCTCTCCTATCACCTATTTCCAAACAGAGGCTAGGAACACCATTCCAACCCATCCTGGCTAATAGCTATTGATGGACCAAACTTCCATGATCAATCTAGCTCATTTTTTAACTCTCTTAAAATCAATATATTCTTTTCTGAAGGGATTTAGATAAAGTGCTCTGTATTTTGCAGTAGAATTAACTAGGATAACACTAGACTCCAAATTTTAAGAAATGTAACTTTTTTCTGGACCCATATCCCACTTCCTGAATCACTTCAATATAGGACTCCATTTGTCCTGTAATCCAGCAATAACCAGGCAAAAGATCATATATGGAATAAAAATTCATAATATTAGCACTGTATATAACTTCATACCAGAGTATCACATTGGGAAGTGATTGCTATTAAAATTTTAATTTTCTGTAATTTTCACAGTTGTACTTCATCTCCTTGAAATATAAGGAGGTCAGCCTGAATATACATCATTGTTCTTTGTATTATGATAGTCAGGACTGTGCTGGCTGCTGTACAGTACTGAAACAAAGATCTTATACTCTAAATACACAAAACAAAGAGTGAGGAGAAAGACCAAGTGACCACAGGGACAATGGATTGCTGTCATGGAAGTGAATTAGAACTTAACAGGACATCAGCCAACCATCCCCTGTACACAGACAGAAGTCCAGGGCATGGGGGTGGGTATAAGAGGTAAGGGAGGCAAAGCTTTCCTTGGGTCTTCGTGCCCAACCTCTCCTCCCATGCGTATTCTGATGGTTCCTGCAGGCCCCCACAGCAGGCTGTGGCAGCCTGGTGAGTTTTCCTCAGGAGGGGATCTAGTAACTTAGGCAATGTCTACACTGGAAAAGTTTGGCAACAAAAAGTTGTCAACAAAGTTGACAAAACTGAAAACTCAAACCTGTTTTTCTACCACCCTTGTCAACATTTCATGGCCACATTGTTAGCTCCCCTGTCAACAGAAAGAACAAAGCAATGTGGGCAAACATCCCACAGTGCCTGGTGTCACCTTCAGTCACTAAGCACTGTGGTAATGTGCAGCGTAGTGCTAGGCATTGTGGGAATGTTTAAAACATCCCACCAGACACCTCTTTGCTTCTTAGCTCTCCCTGGGCTTCTAGCTTACTTTTGTGACACTTGAGTGACAGCCCTTGGGCATCTGCTGTGAGATAACATGGGTCTCTCAGTTCTCTCCCATGTTGTGTTGAAACTGCTTAGGATATCACGCACTGATGCACTCAATAGCAGAGGACGAAGACTTGGATGCGGACAACAACGTGAGTGGCAGGGACAGCACCAAAACGGCATTGCATTGGGCTGTCACAAATCAGCTGTACACAGTTGAGTGTCGATTTTGGGTGAGGAAAACCAGCACTGAGTGGCTGGATCACATTGTCATGCAGGTGTGTGACGAAGATCAGTGCATGCATAAATCAACTTCCTGGAGCTGTGCACTGAGCTGGCCCCTGAACTGCGGCACAACGACACCCGAATGACAGCTGCTATCTCGGCAGAGAAGTGTGTGGCCACTGCTGTGTGGAAGTTGGCAATTCCTAATTGCTACCATTCAGTTGCAAATCAGTTTGGAGTGGGGATGTCTAACATCAGGGCAGCACTGCTGCATGTGCGCAGGGCAATAAATCAAATTTGCTGTGCAGAATGGTGACTCTGGGCAATGTGGATGACACAGTGGCTGGCTTTGCTGACATAGGCTTTCCAAATTTCTGGAAGGGCAATCGATGGCACACTCGTATTGTGGAACCACCCCACCTTGCCTCGGAGTACATTAATCGGAAGCAGTACTTCTCCAAGGTGCTTTGGTGCTTACAGATGCAGGATGGTCTAGAAAGGTGCATGATGCACACATCTTCCAGAACAGAAAGTTACGGTGGGGCATGTGGAAATGCCCATAGTGATCAAGGTGATGCGTCTTACCCTTTATAGCCCTGGCTCGTGAGGTCTTACATGGGGCACCTGGACAGCAGTAAGGAGCAGTTTAGCAATAGGCTAAGTCAATGCTACTTGAGTGTTGAAGGCACCTCCACCTTGCTTTCAATGGCAAGCTGGACTTTTCGGAAGATCATATCCCCAAGGTGGTAGCCACATGCAGTTGCTTACATCATGTGAGAGAGAGTAAGAAAGAAGAGTTTGGCTGTGTGTGGAACAATGAGACACAGTACCCGGACGCACAGTTTGAACTGCCAGGCACTCGTGCTGTCAGACGAATCCATAGGGCGGCCACTAATATCAGGGAGGCTCTTAGGAACCACTATGCATTGGGGTTGCTTCCCTGTGTCATCCCACTGCTTATCCTGAGTGAGGCATTCCCATGAAACCCAAGGGATATTTTGGGCTTCCACAGGGGCCAGAGTGATTGGTGTGGAATGTGTCACACAAAATAAAACTCATGGAAACCTGCATCAGATTTGTTTTTATTGATGTCTTTCAATCAGGATGTTCAGTGGCAAGATATGGTAAGAGTTACTGGAAAACCTCACAAAGGAGTTAATGTCTAGCTGTTAGTCACAGCTGCTTTCACAGGGAATGGTGTGCTGGGAAAAAACATTACTTGACTGTGAAAATAAGTGTGTGGTTGTAGGAGGAAGGGTTAGTGAATAAAGAATTTTGCATGTGCAGCCATGGAGGCTGACGTGTGGGTGACTGCTGTGAAAAAAGTTCTGCATGTGTTGACAGTGCAGGCCTTTGGTTCTGTTCGCTCTGCATCTTGATAAGACACTTCAGCATTTCACTTTGATCTTTCATGATCTTAAACGTGTGCTCAGTGGTTTGTGTTCTCCCTTCCATCTCTGTAGCTCTTCTTTGCTCCCTTTTCTCTATTTGAAGCATTGAATGACGCAACGCATCATTGACCAAATCATCCCTCGTCTGCCGTGGTTTTTTCCTTAGTTGACAAAGTCTGTCTGCTGGTGAATGTGCCTAACTCCTCAAGGTCTGGTCTGGAAAAGTAACCACTAACAATGGACTGATGTACTATTCATGTAAAAGATTGTAATATTTCATTATTGTGCATCTCTCTGAACAAAACTTGCCACTTTTCTTTTTACCTAGAGGCATACACAGATCTCTCCAGATCCTCTGATCATGTTGGGTTTTAAAGGTGGGGGGTGAAGGGAGGGAAGGAGTGTTACAGTCTGCGCTTGTGCAGCAGGTGTACATGGAAACAATTTGTAATAACCCTATACTTGTCCACAGGCTGAGATTACTCTGACATATCCCTGCTGAAGGTTAACAGGAAAACACAGACTCAGCTTCACTCCCCTCCCCAGCCACAAGAGCAACTTCCCAAGTTGACTGCCCCTCCCACACCCCACGGCAATACACAGGAACCTACCACCCTCCTCCACTGCTGCCCACACCATGCCACTACAATATACAGCAACTTACCATTCCCTCCCTCCTTTAGCGGCATTAAAACTTACCACCCTGCATGACCACCAACCACCCCCCGTGTCTCTGCCCTTGTTTCATGACCCTGCGTCTGTTCTCGTCTTTAATGTTCCACGTACAGTTGCTGAGAGGCCTCACAAACCTCAGGACCTGAAAACACTGGTGCACTGATTGTCACCAGATTGAGCCTAACTCTTTTGTCCACTTCCGTCCCCAGGACAAGTGTCTCTGACTCTGTGCTATGAGGCGTATCTACATTCTTCTTAGGTTGACATGGAGTACTCACCCAGAATTGCATCCAGTTTTTTATAAAAACCAGCATGTTGCAAGTGAAGCATGAGACCAGCTTTCTTTGCCTTCTAGTACTCCTGCCAGAGTTCCTTTATCTTGGCCCTACATTTTAGGGCAGTGGTCTCCAATGTTTACACTCAAGATCACTTTTTAAATGACAGAACAAGCCAAGATCTATCCCTACGCCCTTTCCTAGAAGCCCCGCCCTCTCTATTCTCCTCACCATCACTTGCTATCCCCAACCCTTATACTGCTGCTTTTTTCCCCAATTCTTCCATAGGAAGAGGTGTTTCCAACATTAGGCCTATCTAGGCTGGACCAAATATCGGAAAAACCCCTTCTTTTGGAAGCTCCCTTATTCCTCGTGGAAAGAAGAATATAGGGGTGAACGGAAGATCATTTTTGCTCTTCCACTAAAAGAAGCGGAAGAACAAATGCATCCCTGGATGCAGAAGAGTTTTTCTGGGGTATCTCCAGAATCCTGAAAAACTCCTGCCGTCTAGCA